CAAATTTTAAATTAAAATTGTTTCAAAATCTTTTTCACTGATTATATTCTAACATGTTTTTTCTAACATGTTTTCATGTCAATAAATTTGCAATGATATTATTATTTCTTTCTTCTTTTTTTTTTTTTTTTGAGTTGGAATCTCACTCTGTCGCCCAGACTGGAGTGCAGTGGCCACTCCCAGCCACCGTGGCCTCAACCTGCTGGGCTCCGGCGATCCTTCCACCTCAGCCTTCCAAGTAACTGGAATTACAGGAATGCGTTACCATGCCCGGCTGATTTTTTGATTTATTGTAGAGATGAGGTCTCGCTGCCCAGGCGGGTCTCGAACCCGCGGGCTCAGGCAATCCACTCACCTCAGCCTCCCAAAGGCGCGGGATTACAGGCTGAGCCACCGAGCCCGCGATATTATTATTTCTTATGGATGCATGGTATTCTGGTATATGGACTATGTATTTCATATATATATATAATGTTTGATTTAAGCAAGTCCAATTGTTTCTATATTTTTACTTTTATTACCAACAATACTACAAATCTTTTGTGCATGCTTTATTTTCTTACCTTGCCTCATTCTTTCCCCAAAATTAAGTTTTGAGGTAGAAATTTGAATCCAAATATCTGCCAATTCTTAAGGAGGCTGTTTTTTTATTTGTTTCTAGAAAATTATTTATAGTCTCACCAACAGTGTACAACATTTTCATCTTTAGCAATGTAATGGTCAAAAGTTAAATGGTTTTGTTTCCTTAATTTGCATGTCTGAAATGAAAAATGACATTGGGTATTATTTCATATGCACTGAGAATTTATATTTCTTCTGTGAATTACTTGTTGATATCCTTATTCTTAAATGGGAAAGTTAACTTTGTTATAATTTTTATACACAAAAGAGCATTTGGTATATGGGTGAAACCAAACATTTATCTGACTTTTGCATGTGTTCACATGTGTTAATTTACCTGTTTTGTGATTGGTGTCATGGTTGGAAAATCTTCTCCAACATTAGATTATATAAATATTTATAAATATTGTTAACATAATAGTGAACATAGAATGAGAAAGAACTTTGGAATTATACAGATACCAGTTAAAATTCCAGCTCTGGGTCAAGCATGGTGGTACATGCTGATCATTCCAGCACTTTGGGAGGCTGAGGTGGGAAGATAGCTTAAGCCCAGGAGTTCGAGACCAGCCTAAGCAACATAGAAAGACCTCATTTCTACAAAAAAAAATTAAAAAATAAAAACAAATAAAAATTTAAAAAGCAATCTATCTCTGATATTAACTAGTAAAACATTGTATTTTCCAGAGATGGCTGCAACAATAGTTCCCATGCCACAAACTCTTCTATAGCATTGCCACTCTCCAATCAAAAGGATTAGGTGGTTCATACACACCATGGAATACTACAGTCATAAAAAAAAACAAAATCAAAATGGGGGCCATAGTGAGGCACAAACTTTACCTGTACAATAACCATTTGTATATCTAATCCTGAATTGTACCCCACCTCCTTAAAAAAAAAAGAACAAAATCATGTCATTGGCAGCAACATGGATGCAGCTGGAGGCCATCATTCTAAGCAAATTATTACAGAAACAGAAAAGTGACTACCATGTGTTTTCACTCATAAGTGGGAACTAAACAAACAAACACAACGATGGGCACAACAGACACCGGTGACCACTAAGGGGGAGAAGAAGAGAAGATCAATAAAGGCTGCAAAACCACCCACCACCACTCTCCACCTGGGGGTAGGAGGATGGGTTCATCAGAAGTCCAAACCTTGCTATCACACAATATACCTTGTAACAAATCTTCACATGTACGCTTGATTCTAAATGGTTTTTTTAATGAGAAAAATGATCAAATTAGAATCTGTCCAGGCTTGTAACTTACTTGTAACCTATAGAATGTAACAGAAGTGATGATGTATGACTTCCAAAGCTAGATCATAAAATGTGATATAACTTCTACCTTGTCGGCGAATATAATTACCTTTAGAGCCTTAAGCTACTAGGTAAGAATTCTGGGACTTTCACTCTGTGAAGGGGCCCAGGCCACATAGACGGTCCCTATTCAGGTGTTCTGACCAACAGCTTCAGGTGATATCACAACTTACACCAGCATCAACAGCAAAGACAAGTGAGTGGAGACACGTCCAAATGATTCCAGTTTCCAGCTCTCAATCACCTTCAGTCTTCGCATCTTTCCAGTTGAAGCCCTAGCCATCATGGAGCAGAGACAACCACTCCCACTGTATACTTTATAAATTCCTGATCCATGGGACTAGTTAACGGTAATTTGTTATGCAGCAACTTAGTTGCATAATACTTGGCAAGTTACTTAGCCATTCTGTTCTTCAGGTTTCTCATTTATTAAATTGTCTTACAACAATAGCCACTTTATGGAAAGTTGTGAAGGTTATATGAGACCCATATACATATATAATGCTTTGCATGTGCCTAGAACATGTTAAAATTTCAAACAATGATAGTCACAATAGTAAAAAGTTTTTCTTTGTTTATTGCATTTAAATAATTAATACATGTGAAATTTATTTTAGTTCAATGTGTAAGGTTGTATAGATTATTTATCAATTGCAAATTAACAGATTGTTTGCCAAATTACTTTTCTTTAAGAAAATATGTGAATAAATGTTTTCTATATAACTATGTACATATATGAAAGAAGAATGTATGCATGTTAGGGAGTAGATTCTTGATGTGTTATCATGTGGATAAAGAAATTTTCACCCGAGTTTTTGCTCTGCTCATTTGCTCAAGTTGGAAAAGGGAACTGGAAAGAATATCCCAAGATGGAGAAAGCAAAAGAAAACAGAGAAATATTAACTTAGGCTGTAAGAACACCTAATAAAAAACACGATCCTCATTCATGAGGAGTTAGATTAGACACCACACACACTATCACTTAGAAGTGCCAAAACATAACTTCATTTTCTAACCTGACCTCATGTTGTTTTAGAGCTCCATTCCCAGTGAGGTCATTCACTGAGTCTTGTCAGTTTAAGAGTTAGGGAATAAAGGAAGCAAGGGAAGTTAGGGAGACAACATTAACAAAAGCTTGCTTTCAGTCAGAGACTAGCTTTAATTGGGTCCGGTGGAAAAGCTCCCAGGCACAGATTGCACCACAGACTTAGCTCCACCTTGATGCCAGGAGCCAGCTGCTCATTAACTGAGGTCTCTGTTCAAGTGGAGAACTTAGCATCTGGACAAGGCAGCTTTTATTTGGTAGAGAGCAAATCTCCAGAGGAATAAATAAGTTGTCATAAACCAATAGTTGATGCAGCTGGGTACACTCATCGGCAAAGATTTTAGCAGGCACCAAATTCAAGTCAAAATCCTCCACTATATAAAGTAAAATTCAATGTTCTGATGCTGAGAATGCCATTGCATGCTCTTGAAACACAAAGATTTTATAGTTAGAACTCTCTTCTTGCTCAACAAAATCAAACTCTTGCTTTGTTAAACATTGATTTTAAAATATTTTTAAAATCTATATTGAAACCCAAAGCTAAACAACAATCTTTTTTTTTCTAGATTGACTTCTACCATCCCCATGATTCAATGGGAAAGACAGCCCATGTACAACTACAGCCTATAACTCAAACTCAAAATATCCATGTTATGTTGATATTTCCAATCTGCTTGTTCATTTTGAAAAACTTTTCTTCATGTCTTTTTTCACCCTGTATCTGTAAAATCCAGATTTAGAATTCCTCAAAAAGATCATATTCTCAGCCACAGAAAAATACAGGATATGCCAAACTACTCAAGTGGAGAATTGGTTGGCTCATTGTAAGAATTTTACATGGCAAAATACAAGAGAAAGAAGTTCATGGAAACCCAGGACCTAGAACTGCAGTTGGTCTCATAAGGAGAGAAATACAGTCTACTCATGTAGTAAGTCCTCACTTGTTCCCCACAACTCTATACTAAATAAATAATTTTTTTAAAAAAAAATGCCTGGATTAGTCTATATCCAAGGAATCTTGGTTGCAAGTATGCTGCTCCAAAATCACTGCTACTCGGTTTCTCTCCACCTCTTTGTTTTATTCAGTATCTGCCTGCTTCTCTTCCCCTACTATTACCTTTCTGCTATATCACAACTTTTGCTTACTCATAACTTCATTTTACAAAGGGCACTCTATTACTTTGACACTACCTCATGGTATCTGTCTATATTCTATTATCTTAAACTGTTGTACCATGCCACCTGCCTCATTATCAGCATTTTTTCTTTCATTTCTATGAGAAGGAAATGACTAGTCATCCTTGAACAACGCCCCCATTCTCAATCCAGTTACCTAGTTCAATCATGGACCCGAGGCTACTGGGTCAGCTGAGGCAATGATAATGCAAGCCAATTCCACACACACCAGAGTGCCTCTCAAATCTTAATTTCCACAAACTAAAATTCCTCTAAAAATTTTTCTTGATGTCTCATTCTTATATTTGTCCAGTTTTTTTCTGGTCTGAGATCTCTCCAAGACCTCTACCAAAGAAAAACTTTGGCTCAGGAAATCTGGGGTTAGCCCTCTCCAGAACCCATGAGTAAAAGAACAATGCCAGAAAGTATCAGAGCTAATCCAAAGAGAATTCCAGCCCAGAGGAGTATGTAGATGAAGCTAGAGTGTATCACAGAATTCTCAGTACAACCTGAGGATTATTTTGGTCATTTCTTTACATTTTCACATAGGAGATAATAAATGCCCAAGCCTGGGCTTATTCATGGCAGTATCACCATGAGGAAACCCAAACCCCAGATATGAGCAACAGGGATTTGCAAAAAGTCCATCTAGTGCCCCATCATTAATGTGACTCATCTGCCCTCTACTGCTTCTCTTTGTGACTACTTCTCTTTTCATTACCAGCTGGTTTTCTCACTCTATCATTGGTTAGAAGGGGAGAGCAAAATGCAGGTTTATGGGAAGACAAAGAGGGTTAGTGATTGAAGAATGACGCAAAATCCAGGAGAGAACTAGACTCCATCAGGGAGGTTGCAATAGTTACTATGATTGCAACAGATGAGCTCGGTCCTCTTCTCAAAACCCAAGAAGTTGATGTCTTCACAGTAGGTCATACATGACAGTTTTGAATATCGATACATACTCCGCCCTGAGGAGGTAAAAGAGAGAATACCACTATAATGACCTCACTTCCTCCTACCATATTCCTAGGCACAACCTGATTTCATATCCTCGCTAACCTTTCTCTAGGTCTAAATGAGCTTCAAGGCTGAGTCTATTAATTGCTGGCCTGGAGAGTGGATTTTATTTCCTACCAGATAAGGATTACCAGCCTCTCAACCCAATATTGTCTTAAGGAAAAGTTCATTTTTGCTGTCCCCTCTACATGACCACCCCTTCCTCGGCTATCCCATTCACCCACTCCCTCTGAGAGTAAATAAACACTACTGTTTTTCAAAGGAGTTGGTGGTTATTTCTCAGTCACTATAACTCCAGGTTACCTTTTCTTGGAAGCACGTAAAAGTTCTCAACTGCACAGGACTGTTTATACTTCAGGTTGCAGGACCTCATGGTATCATAGCACAACCCAAGATGATATTTACCACATTCATAACACATTATTGCAGTCTCTGCCAGATACAGAAAGAGGTACTTAGAGGATGTGATCTGGAGTGGGCTCTCCGGACCTAGAGGCTCCACCATAGGAACTTTCTCTTGCTTAGTAGTTCCTAATGTTTCTCAGGTCATGGACTCTATAATCTCTTAAAAGATTGGGGTAATCACTCTGTGGTTCTCTCTGTGTACAAATCAATAAAATTAATCACTTCTCAGCCTTTTGGCTAATATCAAGGGCAAAATAATAAATTTAAATGTATTTTTCTCCAATTTAAAAAAAAACTTGTAAAAGATAGCCTGTAAGACATAAATCAAACACTACTTATAATTTCAGGAGGTCAGGCTTCCTGTGAAATTTAGCCATGGACCTCTAATAATGAATCCCTTATCTGGCCTGAGGATTTTGATCAGTAATGAGTAAAGGAATACAAAAAAGGGGATCTTAACCTCCTTACTGCAAGAAGTGGACTAAATAGGTCTGGGACAAGACGAAATTCCTAAGATTCTGTAGTAAGAATGGATTAGATGCCTCTGAAAATGGAAGGGTGGGTTGCTCTAAATATGTCACAGATACTCTGTTGACCAAGGACTTCAGAAAAGTCATAGTTATACCTTTTTTTAGAGGGTTTCGAAGTTCACCTGTGAAAAAATGAAAAATCTTCCTTATTATAATCTAATGTATATCTGCCAAAGCACCAAGAGCCAATTCTGTAAACTTCCTCTTTCCCAGCATCTGTCCATCTCTTATCCAACTACCAGTTGCACTTCTGTCTCCAGAACTTACCCCAGAGAGGGCAGAGAAAGAAAACTGTGCCCAGCAGAAACAGAACAAACATCCTGGAACTTTTGTCATGTGCAGCTTTCTGTGGATGGTGCTGGTTGTTCTCCTCTTGTGATCTGTCCTTGGGCTACTCATCTAAATTATATATAATCATAAAATTTCAGGGACAGTCAGTACCTCAGTGTTCCCAGAGCCAAGTCACCATATCAAATTGCCTCATGGCATTCCAAAGAGGGTACTCACTCTGATTTTTCCATAAATCCACTAAATGAAAATGAAATTGTGATCTTCCTGATTCACTTCAATGTTACATAGGTCTTAATAAATCTGGGAGGTATCATTTACAGTGCCCAGATTCCCATCCTCACAGAGGATCTACATTTAGTCTTTATCCTACCAGTAAGTTTAGATTGAAACTTGACCACCAGCCTTTACGTTGAGGTCTCTCTAGTCATTTTGTTTAACTGAAGTACTATTCTTCAACTCATCCTTCAGGAAGGACTTATGGAAATAATAATTCTGAAATTCTGGTATGTCAAAACACTTTATGTTCTTTACACTTGAAAGTGGATTTTGTTTAGTAACAACTCTAAAAGGAATCAAGTGACACATAGACATTTATTTACTTTTTAGAAATTAGTGACCTAGACTTTTACTGAGTTTAAAGAAAAAAAACATGTTTGATAAGTAATGATTTGTAGAAAAGGGTACTAATTCTTTGGGTTATTTAAGTACTTTAAAAAACTACTTGTGACATTGTGATCTGAAAGAAAAAATGTATAGGTAATATTGTAAGCAACAGTAATAAAAATTACATCTACCATAAAAAAAGCGGGGTTTTGCTGAATCCTTGATTCACATTTTCTTACCTTATATATCATAAGTATATTACTCCATTTACAAGAATCTAATGATTAACAAATTTTCTGTCTCTTGTCAGTTGTAGGGTCTTTTGGCTTAAAAACTCAAAGGTGTTTTTTTTATTTCTTTGAAGTTCAGTAATTTTACAAGAATTTGTCTTTGTTTTGATCATTCTAAGTCAATATCCTCAGGTACACAATGTGCTACTTCAGTGGGAAGTTTCAATTATTTTAAAAATCCTTTTGGAAAGGTTTTGTCATGATTACCAACTTTTAGTCTTTGACCTGCTCTTTTTTTATTTTTTCAAAAGTTGTTATTCTTATTTTGAATTTTTTTTCCAAAAAATCCACTTTTAAAAATTTATTATTATAAAACTGTGGGGTACAAGTGAGAATTTACTTCACAAGTATGCTGCATGAAGGTGAAGTTTGGTTTTCTAGGTGGCCCTCACTCCCCCTGGTAATAGATTAGGTACCCTTTGTGTTGTCACATGCTTCCCACCCACTTTCCTACCTCCCTCCTCTAGCAGTGCCCAGTAACTGCAGTCCCAAACTTGGGCTAACGTGACTAGTGATCAGGGCCCATTTATGAGTGAGGACATGCAGTATTCAGATCTTTGTTTCTGTGATACTTCACTTAGCATGATGGTCTCCAACTGCATCCAAGTTGCTGTGAAGGTCATGATTTTGTTCTTCTTTATGGCTGTGTAATACTTCATCATGTGTATGTACCACATTTTATTTTTCCAGTCCACTTTTAATAAACAGCAGTGTTGGTTCCATGTTTTTGCTTGTGTGAATAGTGTGACAATAAACATGCACGTGCAGGTGTCTTTTTGTTGGAGGTAATTTATGTTCCTCTGGATATATTCACAAGAGATGAGTTGCTGGATCATATGGAAGATCAATTTTTAGTTCTTTTAGAAATGGCTACACTGCTTTCCATTCAGGTTGAACTAGTTTATATTCCCATCAACAATGTAGAAGCGTTCCCTTTTCTCCACAGCTACGCTAGCACCTGTTGTTTTTTGACTTATTAATGATAGCCATCCTTATTGTTGTGATGTGGTATCTCATTACAGTTTTGATTTAAATTTCTTTGATGATTATTGAGGCTGAGCATTTTTTCATATGTCTGTTGGTTCCTTGTATGTCATCTTTAGAGAAGTGTCTGTTTATGTCTTTTGCCCACTTTTTAATGGAGTTGTTAGTTTTTTTCCTTTCACTTACTTTGAGTTCTTTGTAGATCCTGGATGTGAAGTCTTTGTCAGATGCATAATTGGCAAATATTTTCTCCATTATGTGGGTTATTTCTTTACTCTCTTAGTGATTTCTTTTGCTGTACAAAAGCTTTTCAACTTGATGAGGTCCCACTTGTTTTATCTTAGCTTTTGTAGCATTTGGTTTTGGGAACTTGGCCATGAATTCATTTCCTACTCTGATGTCTAGAAGGATGATTCCTACATTTTCTTCTAGGATTTTTATAATTTGAGATTTTATGTTTCAGTCCTTAATCCATTTTGAGTTGGTTTTTGTATATGGTGATAGGTAGGGGTCCAGTTTCATTCTTCTGCATGTAGTCAGTTTCCTCAGCACCATTTGCTAAATATAGTCTCCTTTCCCCAGTGATTGTTATTGGTGGTTTTGTCAAAGATTAATTGGTTGAGAGACTATGATTTTACTTCCTGAATCTCTGTCCAGTTCCATTGGTCTATGTGCCTATTTCTGTATCAATACCATGAAGCATTGGCTAATGTAGCTTTATAATAAATTTTAAAGTCTGGAAGTGTGATACCTCCCACTTTGTTCCTTTTGCTGAGGATTGTTTTGGCTATTGGTGCTCTTTTCTGTTTCCATATTAATTTCTGTATTTTTGTTTTCAGGTCTGTAAAAAAAGAAGTTGGCAATTCGATGGGTATTGCATTGAATCTGTTGATTACATTGCGTAAGATGAACATCTTAACAATATTGATTCTTCCGATCCATGAGCATGGGATGTTTTTCCACTTGTTTGTGTCATCCTTGATTTCATTCAACAGGTTTTATAGTTCTCATTGTATAGGTATTTCACTTCTCTGGTTAGATGGATGCCAAGGTATGTCATTTTTTTGTAGCTATTGTGAATGGGATTGTTTTTTATTTGGTTCTCTGCCTGCTTGTTGCTGGTGTATTGAAATGCAACTGTCTTTTGTACATTGATTTTGTACCCCAAGACTTTACCAAAGTCATTTATCAGTGCAAGGGAGCTTTTGACAGACTGTCTAGGGTGTACTAGATATAGAATCATATCATCTACAAAGAGGAATAATTTAGCTTCCTCTTTTCCTATCTGAATATCCCTGAATTCCTTTTTTTGCCTGATTGCTCTTGTCAGGACTTCCAGCACTATGTTGAATAGAAAGGGAGAGAGTGGGCATCCTTGTCTTTTTCTAATACTTAGGAGGAATGTTTCCAGCTTCTGCCCATTGAGCAAAATGTTGGCAGCAGGTTTATCAAAGATGGTTTTTATGTTTTGAGGAATGTTCTTTCTATGCCTAGGTGTTCAAGGGCTTTTAATCAAGAAGAGATGTTGAATTTTGCTGAATGCTTTTTCTGCAATGAATTATATAATCATGTGGTTTTTAGTTTTATATCTGTTAGTGTGCTGAATTATGTTTATGGCCTTGTCACTGTTGGACCAGTCCTGCATCCTGGGAATGAAACCCAGCTGGTCATGATGGATGATCCTTGAAATGTGTTGTTGGATCCTGTTTGCTAGAATCTTGTTGAGAATTTTTGTGACTATGTGCATCAAGTAGGTTGGCCTGTAATTCTCTTTCCTTGCAGGGTCTTTACCAGTTTGGGGTATCAGTATGATATTAGATTCATAAAATGAGTTAGGAAGAATTCCATCATTCTTGATTGCCTCTTTCAATAAGACTGGTATCAGCTCCTCCTTTTATGACTTGTAGAATTCAAATGGGAAACCATCTGGACCAGGACTTTTTTAGCAGGGTGGTTTCTTATGACTGAGTCGATTTCCTGGATTGTTATTGGTCTGATTAGAGTTTCAATCTCTTCTTGTTTCAACCTTGGGAGGTTGTATGATGCCAGGAAATCCTCCATTTCTTCTAGATTTTCTAGTTTATCTACATATGTTTCTACTATATAGTAATCTACTATATAGTAATCTCTGATAATTCAATTATTCCGTGTCAGTTGTGACCTTGCTTTTTCATTTCTAATTGTGTTTAATTGTGCTTGCACTCTCTCTCTCTCTCTCTCCCTCTTTCTCTCTCTCTCTCTCTCTCTCTCTCTCTCTCCCTCCCTTCCCCTCTCCCTCTCCCTTTTCCTCCCTCTCTCTCTCCTTCTCTCTCTCTTTTTAGTAAGTCTGGCCAGGGATTCAACAATCTAATTTATCCTTTTAAAGAACCAGCTTTTTGTCTTGTTAATCATTTCTGTGATATTTTGTCTTCTGTATCCTGCAATTTTGACTTTATCTTAGTGAACTAGATTTTTCTACTGAAATTAGGTTTTAGATGAACTTGCTTTTCCAGCTCCCTTAGGAGCAGCATTAGTGTTTATTTATGATCTTTCTGTTTTCTTTTCTCTTCTTTTTTTTTTTTTTGAGTTGGAGCCTCACTCTGTCACCCAGACTGGAGTGCAGTGGCTGCTCCTGGCCACCGCAGCCTCGACCTGCTGGGCTCTGGCCATCCTTCCGCCTCAGCCTTCCAAGTAGCTGGAACTACAGGCGGGTGCTACCACACCTGGCTAATTTTTTGATTTATTGTAGAGATGAGGTCTCGTCAAGTTGCCCAGGCGGGTTTCAAACCCGCAGGCTCAGGCAATCCACTCACCTCAGCTTCCCAAAGCGCAGGATTACAGGCTGAGCCACCGAGCCCGGCTTCTGTTTTCTTAATGTGTGTAGACAATACTATTTATTTTCCTCTTACCATTTCCTGGCATCCCAGAGATTCTGATGTGTTTTTGTTCTCATTTGTTTCCAGGAATCTTTTTATTTCTGTCTTGATTTCTGTGTAGAATCAGAAGTCATTCAGCAGCATGTTGTTTAGTGTCCGTCTTTGTGTGTTGTGAGGGGATCTTATTGGTGGTGATGTTTATTTTTATTACACTGTGATCTGATGTGAGAAGATGCATGGTATTATTTTGATCTTTTGAAATGTGCTACCATTTTATTTATGTCCTAGAATGTGAT